TCATGTGTTAATACCATGGTCTAGTAAGCTTTGTTCATCATTGTCGTGCACCACGCCTGCAGTGATGAAAGTGTTCGATAAATACTCATCCAGCAGGGCCAAGGACACAGAAAAGTATGGCGCAGGCTTCGTTGGAGAGCCTGAGATCACTCAAGCGAATGTGGAGTGTAGACTCTGTATCGCCTGGCAATGTGTCCCAAGTGGCATACTCGATGTCAGACCTGCATGGAAAGTGCGCGGCGACATCTTCATAGACCTTGGTCACATCTTCCTTCGTCGGGAGAGATGCCTGCAAGTATTGCCGAGGGCCACCATGCTTCTTCAACAAGGCGTGTCCCAATTTCAGCGCGTTGTCCCGGAAGTTGTCTGGCGAACCTGAGCAGAAACCATCGACTTGCTCATCTGTGAGTTCCTGAGTCTTTTGTTTGCAATGCCTCCTGGGCATCATCTGCATTCATTGTCTCATCCGCAGGCGTGGGTTCACGCTTGACGCCATTGCTGGCGCTTGCCATTCTGAGTTCTCACAAACTTGCGCCTACAAGAAGTCGTCGAAAAGCCAAAACTTGAGCCTATGAGGAGTCACTGCTGAGCAAGCAAGCAAGCAAGCAAGCAAGCAAGCAGAACTGGGTGCGCATTCGTTTCGTACATTTGGTTGACTCGCAGGTGTGTCTTCACGCCTTAGCTCGGGGGCGGTCAAGCTGCCGGAAATTCTGACAAACTCTTCTGAAAGCGAACTCTCTCTTGCTGGCATCAGGTTTGCATGGGGTGTGGGCATACGTCCACACCGACCAAAACCTGTCCGACCAGCCAAGTCGGGGCCCGGTTCGCAAGCGATTGCTAAAGTAAGAAAGCAAAGTGTTGTTGACGCTAGAAAAGAGGAAGAATAGAAGAGCTGCTCTGGGGTCAATTCACCAGTTGACAGTTCAGCCCAAAACGCGGATCCGTGCGAGAAGGCAGTCGCGCAATTTCGTGAATTTCTTCAAGATGAAGGGACGCCTTTTCCTAGCATTGCGCCTGCAATGGATGTCGCTCTGAGTCGCTACGTTGGGCACTTGTGGCCGACACAGAAGCGCCAGCCAAATGGCGCAAAATGCTAGTGATACCCTAGAGGGAGTTGGCTTCACATCTCATGATTTTTGGCCTTGCAGCCTCCGTAGGGGAGGGGCAACATACTGGTTCAAGAAGTAGGGACAAATGGACCGTTTTGATCTAAGGCCGGCGGCAGTATGCCCGTACGGCCCGGACTTACGTCAGCGATGGGTTGTCTGCGATAGCTAGCGTGTCTTTACGATGGCAGCAAACAAACAGTTTCACCAAATATTTTTGAATTCATTCCACCAAAGCTTGCCTCCGCTTGAGCCCGCTCATAAGAGCAGGTCAAGGGGAAGTGGAGGACAGTCTTCAAAATCAAAGAGAAAGAGTCCAAAACAGTGAGAGAGAGAGAGATGGAGAAGTGTCTCCGTTTTTCCTTGTCCAGAGTCATGAGGGCGATGCGTTGGGGGGTCCGGAACTGGATTCAATTGAATCACGCGCGTAGCATTCTTTTCTGACAAATTTGGTCTTGCAGAGCTGTCAAAAGGAGCGTAAAGGGCCTGAATCTGTGCGCTTTCGACCCCGTAAGTAAAGATGAGGGACCTGCTTGTAGCTCCGGCTCTAAGCTCCCTTCTTCCCTTTCCCCCCCTCTCCGCTGTCGCCAGCGCATGTGGCATGGGAGAGGACGTCGCTTTTTTCGTTCCCACTGTTCTCCTCGCTTTATCGGCGTGTGGCAGGACAGTCTTCAAAGTTAAAGAGAAAGAGTCGAAAACAGTGAGAGAAAGATGGAGAAGCGCCTCCGTTTTTCCTTGTCCAGACTCATGAGGCCTCATGTTCCTCCAGTTTGGCGGGGTCTCATTTTCGATCCTTGAGCTAACGCGGAACCAGGTTTGGCAGTTATCCGTTGGAGGGATCCAGAACTGGATTCAGTTGAATCACGTGTGTACAGCCTTCTTTTCTGACAAATTTGGTCTTGCAGAGCTGTCAAAGTGAGCATAAAGGGCCTGGATTTGACCCTTTTCAATTGAGGTACCCCATTTCGTGGGTAAGGTCCGTGTTTGTAGAGAGCTGGGAGAGGGCACCCTATCCCAAAACCCTACAGACTGCTCTGAGACCTATGCGAAACGCGCGCGCTTAGATCAGTTGTTCGGCAGTTTATTCATGTGAAATACTCATGGCAATAGTTGCTTGCTCGCTTCTTCATTTGTTCTCACTATCGTTGTTTGGGATTGAATCTTGAAAAGCCTCTCATCACCACGTGCTCAGTTTGAGTGATTGATGTCTGATACACGGACTTGAGTTTCAACGCTCTTCCCTTAGCGGCTCGATAAAGCACCCTTGTGGTGAAGATTGAAGCAACTTTCATTCAAGCCCGGCCTGAGAGTTTAGAAAACGTTGAGCAAGAAGCAAATAACCTACTGAAACAAGGGAAAGTCATTCCGACCTAGCGCGCCTGCCGTGTGCCATTCGGGTGCGAAATTTAGGGCAGGAAGTCCAACCCAGCGCTTTTGTGCGCCACCTGCTCATCTGATTTTGGCACCAGGAGGAACCATTCCAACCTAGCACAGCCACCCGAGGGTGAAGTTTAGAGACTCAGTCTCAGGCATTTGCCCCTGGCCACCATATGACCACAAGTGTAGGGAGTCGGTGAGCGCGCAAGTGGGTCGCTACGTGCACGTGAGGTGATGTTTGCACACACAAGTTTGTTTTGCAACATCACCACTTCACAATAATTAGATCTTCGGGTCGGCTGTCATCCCCGGGTGGGCAAGGGATTTGACTTTTGCCTTCACAGGTGGGCTGGGTGCCACCGTACATGGGCGCATCTTGGCCCACAAGACGCAGCGTTTCATTCACAATCCTTCACACACAAGTAAGGGTCAGCAGACTAACGCCCAACCTCCGAGCGCTGTTGTTTGACCTGTCCTTCTTGGGGTTTCCTCGCTGCCTCTGAGTTTGTGGTCGTTGTAGTCTGGGCCTTTGGTTCTTTTCTTTACAAGTTTTCCCATGTGCACAGTTTTCTGCTGACGCATCAACCAATAAAATCACCCGGTCTCTTTGAACCACCAATGAGGTCCCGAAAACAAACGTCGTTTTTGGTTCAGCTTTGGTTGTCGAACTCGATTTGAAACTGGTCTCTCAATGCGTTCATACAGGCACCAAAGCAATTTTTGATGATGCAAGTGATGCCAATAGCATTCCCGAGGGTTCGGTTAGCTCAAAGAACTATCTCAGTGCGAGTCAGCATGCATCAAAGGAAGGAGAAGCCGATCCAGGAATCGCTACTATGCCAGCTCCTCTTCCCCTAAAACTTGATTTGTACCTGGAGGATGAGATTTGGTTTGCGCTCAGTTTCCTTTACAGTTCGGAATTTTGATGGAACGCGATCAGCTGATATTCCCTTTGTCGGAATCTACTTGAGTGCCAGTTCCGAAGTTGGGATCAGCTTGGCTCTGCCCCAGGCGAAAAGTTGCACAAGTTGAGCGCTCTCAAGTCGTTCTGTGGCCCCGTCGCTATACCCACCCACACCCAGACCCAATTCAAGTAGGGCTAAAATCCGCCCGCACCGAAGGTGCTGAGGCATTTTTATAGGGCACGCATTATACCGCAAGTACCACAAGAAGTACCGCAAGTAGTACTGATAGCTTTAGCTGGGGGGGGGGCATTTTCGCTCTAGAATCCTGTGTTTTTTCACGTTTTTGGAACCGGCTTAAAGTGCTGGAAGATAAATTCGTGCTAATGTTAGCTATCTTGAAGCCTTTAGGGATGCAAGAAATGCAATTTTCTGCTTTGCATCATCTGAATCATCTGAGCGGTACAGTGTAATTGGACTGAGACCGGACATTTGGCTGAACAGGTTCCCCTAACGGAGCTCAACATAGCTTCCATATTGCGTAACATAGCCCTAGAAGTCACTATCTAACGGACGTGTCTGCGAGATAGGGACTTGAACGTCCGGGTACGTGGCTGGTCAGGAGCAGAGATAAGCAGATCAGGTCCAGGAACGGTAACATTATCTCACGAGCATAGCTCCCATATGGTCGAACATAACCCCAGAAGTCACTATCTCAAGTATGCTTCCCCGAGATAGGTACTTGAACGTCGTAAACATGGCCCAACGAAGGCTCCAAAGGAACTGGAATAGAGTGAAGATATTGCCTAACAGAGCCCTAGAAGTCACTATCTAAAGGACGTGTTTGCGAGATAGGGACTTGAACGTCGTAAACTGGAATAAAACCCCCCCCTAACGTGGCCAAACATAGCTTCCATATTGCCTGGCATAGCTTTAGAAGTGATATTGTCCCCTTCCATGCGGTGCGGGCGGTTACCGTCGCGAAGCGACGTGAATATTGCTAGCCGAGCAGTGCAATCAATGTGATCGGATCAGAGTTCCAGATACAAAAGCAATGGTGAAAGTTGCGAGCAGAGTGTGGCTTTAAAGAGTTGTAACCAGCCCACTTCAAAGTGTCAGCGGTCCAGAGTTCTAAGGCTTTAGGATTTCATGCAAAGTTACGATCAGGGCCTGCTTCCAAGAGAATGAGAAACCCTGTAGCTTCCACCTACCTGCAAAACTAAGACCAACGAATAGCAAAGCTATGAAAACCGGCACCTTTTAAGGCTAAGATAATGTTGCATCGTCGCATGCTTCTTCAACATGCTAAGACAAGCAAGCAGCAAGGACAACGCATTGGGCAAATTGTTTTCCAATTTGCTAAGTGGCAAAGGGTTGATGCCAATTTTGTTGGCAAGTTCCTGACTGCCCCACCGCGCCACGTCAAGGGAAGGTCTGATGTTTGGAAGAGGGAGTTTCCAATAATCAAACCACACTTACACTTTTCAATTATATACCAACAGTCACAACCACTGCCAGTGCCTGCTGAACTTAGCAGAATGGCAAACCGCCTCAGTTTTCTTCCGACATCATCAGATGTTGAGTGTGTTTGGGGTTCAGAACCACAACTTTGAAGGAGCCACAAACACAGTTGATTGATAATGGCGGCAATACACGGCGTTCGGGGCACCGCCCGAGCGTGCCTTGGCCAAGTTTTGCATTTTTTCTAAATTGTGCTGTTTCAGCAAACAGTAAAAAAGCGTGCTTCTTAGTTGGCGGATGTTGGCGGACAGGGGGGCGCATTCTCAGTTCCCAACAGGAGAGATTTGCAGAAATACAACGCGTGGCAGAATGTTGTGTTTAAGTCTTCAGAATCAGACTCTGGCTCTATCAGTTTGCTGCTGTGGTTGCTAAGTCCATGGGTTTGCGTTGGGCTTAGCTTGACATCACGCTGCGCGGCAAGTTCAAGAAGTTCGCGACTTTCATTGAGCGAAAGGATCGGCATTCAAACGTGTACATAGAGCCTATTTGGGCCGCCTAAAGTCGGCGTGCCTTGTGCTTGAGCGAAAACAATCAAGAAGGCATTCGTTCGGGATTGGTTGGAGGTTTTGTTCCAGCGATCATAACTTAAACAAACCAAGTTTTGCCATGTCTTTGTCGACCTGCTTCTTCTCTTGGTGCATCACATGTCTTGCAATTGACCCAAAGATACCCAAAGTGTTTCCTCCATCAGGGTGCATGTGCTCTGGTAACATTGTCCCGGTATGAGTTTGTTTTTGCATCGTTATTATTATTGCCATTGCGAACTCGTACAGTGTTGATGAAAAATAGGCACAAGCATACAATTGTCGCCAGTGCCTAAACACACGCCCGACAACCTTGTCAATTGAGTCTAATCTATCAGTCCGCACTTCTCCAAATCCATTCTCCCAACGTCATCACACATTTTGTTTGGCAGCCAGCCCTTCCTTCCTCAGCCCATTACGAACCCAGCCTTCCCCAACACCGTTTTCCAAACAAGCGTGTCATTTTGTTGGGGGGTGCAAGGTTAGGGGTTATTTTTGGGATGAAGAAGGGCTGGGTCCAATAACTTTGTTGAAAAGACTTGGGACACAGGGTTCAAAAGCTTTGTTGCAAGACTGGGGGTGAAAGGTTCAATGTCCAGAGACAATTTGTCAAATCAAAGTTTGTGATGTTACATCGGTTCGCGCATCGTGTTTGCAACAAACTTAAAGTCTTATAGATGAACTTCCAATGAAGTTGGGGGAGCGCACTGCAAAGGCCTTCTGCGAGGAAAGGAGGTGAAGTTGCAAGAACAGACTTAGGGGGAGACAGGCTGAAGTTTTGAAAACGGACTGAGGGACAGACGGACTGCGACTGCGAAGATAGTAAGTGAAGTTGTAAGAACGGGAAAGGTGAGCTGTGAAGAATGGTGGAAGTTGGAAGAACAGACTTGGGGAAAGGCAGAATGTAAAGATAAGAGGTAACATCGGAAGAGCGGACTATCCCAGCTTTGCAATCCCTTTGAGTACCTCCCTGCATGGCTGAAAGCTCATTTTCTTCCATCATCCATCTCTTTGGTCAGGGTACTTCATTTGAGGCACCTGGCGGTTTGGTAGTTCACATGGAACTGCTGGAGGGCAGGCCAATGATTACATTATTGCTGCTTTGTTTCTCTTGTTTGTCCAGAACAAATTATCAAGAAAGGCTTCCCACTAAGGCATCCATAAAATGCTGAAAAAGCAGCGGCAAAAGCAACATCACTAGCACCAGTACTAGCACCATGGCGGCTTGGCAGTGGACATGAAGCATGAACCCGCCAAATCTCGGATCATGCTTCACTCGAATCCTCCTGTGCACAGGAAGTGATTAAAATGCGTCGAACAGGACATGCGTCATTGAGTCGGAACTTTCTCGTGCGCCCAATTCAACCATCTGAAAGAAGGTGGAGCCCACCCGGCATTTACCATGAAGATCTACATCACAAGGTAGTTGAACCCTCCAGTCGCCCGCTGTCCTACAAGAGTGTGAGTGTCTTACAAGAGTGTCCTATAAGAGTGTCCTACAAGAGTGTCCTACAAGAGTGTCCCACAAGAGTGTCCTTTAAGAGTGACCCACAAGAGTGTCCTACAAGAGTGTCTCCAAGAGTGTCCCACAAAAGTGTCCGACAAGAGTGTCCCATAAGAGTGACCCACAAGAGTGTCCTATAAGAGTGTCACACAAGAGTGTCCTACAAGAGTGTCCCGTAAGAGTGTCCCACAAGAGTGTGCTAAAGAGTGTTCCACAAGAGCTTCCTACAAGAGTGACCCACAAGAGTGTCCTACAAGAGTGTCCCACAAGAGTCTCCCACAAGAGTGTCCTATGAGAGTGTCCCACAGGAGTGTCCTATAAGAGTGTCCCACAAGAGTGTCCCACAAGAGTGTCCTACAAGAGTGTCCTACAAGAGTGTCCCACAAGAGTGTCCCACAAGAGTGTCCTGTAAGAGTGACCCACAAGAGTGTCCTACAAGAGCGTCTCACAAGAGTGTCCCACAAGAGTGTCCGATACCCACAAGAGTGTCCCACAAGAGTGTCCTACAAGAGTGTCCCACAAGAGTGGTCCCACAGGAGTGTCCGATAATGGTGTCCCAAGGGAGTGTCCTACAAGAGTGTCCCACAAGAGTTTCCCACAAGAGTGTCCCACAAGAGTGTCCCAGAAGAGTGTCCTATAAGAGTGTCCCACAAGAGTTTCCTACACAAGTGACCCACAAGAGTGTCCTACAAGAGTGTCCCACAAGAGTGTCCCACAAGAGTGCCCTATAAGACTGCCCCACAAGAGTGTCCTACAAGAGTGTCCCACAAGAGTTTCCTACAAGAGTGTCCCACAAGAGTGTCCCACAAGAGTGCCTTACAAGAGTGTGCTACAAGAGTGTCCCACAAGAGTGACCCACAAGAGTGTCCTGTAAGAGGGACCCACAAGAGAGGCCTACAAGAGTGTCCGACAAGAGTGTCCCATAAGAGTGTCCTATAAGACTGTCCCACAAGAGTGTCCTACAAGAGTGTCCCGTAAGAGTGTCCCACAAGCGTGTCCTATAAGAGTGTTCCACAAGAGTGTCCTACAAGAGTGTCCCACAAGACTTTCCTACTTGAGTGTCCCACAAGTGTGAAGTCCCGCCCAAAACATTTTATTTTGGATGATGGTTATCTCCAGCTCAGCTTCTGTGACAGCCTGTCATGTGCTTGTCGAACACCACCAGGTTGCACAATGATACACGAAATACCTGTAAACTGTTCAGACACATGGGAAGCATGCGGAAAAGAGTGCCGGCGGCAATGGTATTCCTGTTTGCATATCAGGTGAGCAAGCATCTTGCAAACTTCAGTGTGCAGAGGGCACCAAACGCACCTGTATCTTTAGCGCTCGCCAGTTTTTTCCGACGACGTGGCAGCAGCAGGAGATGTTATGCGATACCCAGCAGTCCAAGCTGCATACGCCGGGTTTGGTACTCTTCAAAAATTCACAGATTTGCTCAACTCGTTCAACACTGCTGGCAATGCTTGGCGAAACTGGACAGCTTCAGTGAGAAGTGCGACTTTTTACAAGATTGGTGACAATATTCCCAAGCACACATCAAGCCTCATTCAGAGTATGGAGGCAAACATTCGAGGTGGCAGCAACTTCCTAATATCAGATGCCCAAAAAGCTGAATTGCCAAGTGAACCAGTGAGATCCACCTACCTTGAACAGCTCATGGTCGCGGTGTTGTGCGACAAAAGTCCAGGCATGTCAGCTGTCTATGCTGAGGCTGGCACTAGAGCTGTCGCTCTCTTTGCGAAGGTTTGTAGTCCAGCACTGAAAAGCATGAGAAGTTGGGTGACCTCCGGAATCTTCCTTTGAAGACTCGCAGCTCGGTAGCTGTAGCTGATTTTTTTGTCAGTGAGGTAATTACAGGAACGACTGTAGATGGGGCAGGCGGGTTGTAAATCCGTGAGAGTTGTAGATGAGAGATTGGCATGCCCTATCAGGGCCCTATCATGCTCTCACTTGTCAGCCTTTCTGGTTGTTTTCAGCCATTTATTCAACATGAGTTTGAGGTGATTGACTGCGCGAGTTCATTCTCAATCCGAATTTGTTTGATGAGAAGTTGAAGGAAATCTTGGAGCTTGTTCAGGAGGATGACAGCAATCCATCTTTGCCACAAGCTGCTCGCACTGCCAGAGGCCTCTTTGCGTGTGATATCTTGCGTTCTGCGCTGCACAAGAGACACAGGGTCGAGTTTGGAGTGGACAACGTGACTTGGCGCTGTGAAATGGCCATACCTTTCCGCTTCAAAGATGCTCCGAGCGAGAGGACCGAGTGAAAATAGAGAATTTAGTTTGTAGAAGCTTCTTGTTACTAGTAGTAAGAATGCTCCTAGTAGCGATGCCAGGAGCCCCTAGTAGCGTCCTTGCTCCTAGTAGTAAGGCCAGGAGCCCATAGTAGCTTCTTGTTACTAGTATATATGCATTTTACTCTGTTTTATGTGTTCACAAATTTGTAAGGTAGTACAATCCCCGAGTATTTACATTACAATCCTCGAGCGACAGGACCGAGTTTGGTCACCCTGATTTGGCCATCACTTTGACGCTGCGCACCTATGCTGAAGATGGTTTGACTCGTGAGTCATTTCGCCGCGTCCTGCAATGGGCTGCAGCCATTGAAGATGACTTGCAGACTGGGGCTGTTCACAAAGCCGTCGCCAAAAGGTTGAAAATTGCAAGGGCTGCAGAGGGCTTTACCTTGGATGATGAGATGATTGATCTGCTTTGGCCAAAGCTGTGCCAGAATTTGCAGGTTGTCGAGACTTTCCTGGAGGAGTTTGTTTTTCCCAATGAAACTCGACAATTTCCGTTCAAGGCCCATTGCTGCATGAAGGGCCCACGTTGAAATAATTTCATGTGTTCCTTTGCAATCCAGTGATTCATGCTTCTGTAAGACTAGCAGTCACAACTAGTTGAACTCTGCTTCTTAAGCACTTGGGCTCCCATGACAGGTATCATCAAGTGCATGGGATTTGGCTGCTGGGCGTTTGAGAGGATTTCAGGCACAGCGGACAATCGGCAGCTTTTGCCTCTGGGGGTGCAGCAGTATGAGGACGACATGGTGAAGCACACTGATGGCCGTGCTTTGCGAAGTCTTTGTGATCCTGAGATGGGCGGACCGTCCCCTGTGAAAATGATTGAGCACAAGGAACCCTTGCAGATTTTGGAGGAGCTTCTCATCGCTCAATCTGAAGTCCATGTGACATGTGTCTGTGCTGATTGATTGCGGTGCTTTGCTCACTGGGATGTCGAATCGGCAAGTTGCAGAGGCTGTGCTGAAGCTGAGTCCTCATAGATTTCGGGCAGCCATTTATTTCGATGATGAGAACCAGATCGTGGTACTGGACAGCGATGGAAAAGACACTCCTTTGGCCAAGAGCCCGCTTCAACCTGCCCATGAGTGCTTCACATATTTGGATGACAAGCACACGCGTGGAACGGATCTACGCTTTGCCCCAGCTGCAGTTGGAGCAGTCACTGTGTGCAAGAAGACCACCAAAGACAGGCTAGTCCAAGCCTGCACGCGCATGTGTTTTCTGGGCCTGGGTCAAAAGGTTAAGCTTTTTGTGGACAGTGAAGCTGGAAGGCAACTTGCAGCAGAAAGTGGACAGCATGGAGTGGAGCCAAGTGTGGGTTTAGTTCTTGCTTTTGTCACAGCTCGGACAGCAGAGGAGTTGAGGTTTGCTATTGTTCATTGGGCATTGCAGGGTTCAGCCTTTGCAACACGAGTGCCCTTCTTTGAACATGTCAAGGGGGGGCTTCGGGCCCGAATGCAGGCGTTTAGCAAGAAACACAGCGCTGGAGAGAACGTGCACACAAGAGAATCAGGAATCAGTTGGCATACTGGCGTGATCACAAACTCCTGTGTTCTGAGGACGTTCTTGTTACTTCTATGGATGAGGAACAGGAACGAGAGAGGGAACAGGAGAAAGAACGAGAGAAGGAAGTCGAAATAGAAACCGAAGCTGAAGTGTGTCCTCCTCCAGTCCAAGCCCACACACCGCTTGTTGAGAAGCAATGGGAATGGGGCCATGCTTTACAAAAGGTTTTGTATTTGATTGCCTCAATGAATGCGATAGATGTCCCCGTTTGCATGCAATGACTGCAGATAAGCTGGAAAGCTGCGGGATGTATTTGCCACAGATGCTCGATTTCAGAGACATGCCAAGTCATTTGTTCATCACCAGCAATTGGCTTTGCAGTGTCCAAATTACAGATGACCATTGCAGCCCACTGGAAAGAGCACATGCGTTGCGCGCTGTGGATACTTTCCTTTTGTCTCCGGCCAATGACCAAGTGACATCGATCATCTTGCTATCAGGCTGGGAAGCCAGCAATGTGTTGGTAGAGATGAGGTGTCTGAGCAAACATGCCCCTCAGCGGGCAACGCAGGCAGAAGAGTTCTTTGCCCAGCTGTGCCACTTGAGTGATACTGGCAAAAGTATGTTTGCTTGTCGTGCGGGCTATCCGAAGCTTCCACGCGCAGAGCATTGAGCTCTGCGGAAGCTTTTCAATGGCTCCTGCGATTACTCACTCAGTGAATGTGCAGAAGTTGCGAAATTTCTTGGTCTTTTGCAACCACGGAGCGCCTACAACTTTGCCAGCCATCAGCGGAATGAGCAACAAAGCCAGCGTTTGTGGGAAGCATTGAGAGACCAGAAAGTTTTGAGCAGGAACAGTTTTGTGAAAGAGGTCCCAGACGCCCAGACGTCAATGCCAAACTGAGAGAGGCTGTGGAAACCGCCTTGGAGCAAAGAGATGCAAATTATGCTTTAAAGATGGTTTGGCTTCACAACCTGCTGACTCAGATTTCAACAGGGCGCAAAAATCCTGCAGAAATTGTGCCAGAATTCGTGAGACTCCGGTTACAAGGTCACTTTATCCAAGGATCCAGCCTTGAGGAGCTCTTAGACCTTTGAATCTGATGTAGGAACAAACCTATATTGAAAAAGTATTTCCTAATAATACAAGGTTTGAGTATTTCTAATTCTATATAGATATTTAATTAGTCAATTATTGTTACATAAAACGAAGCGCCCCTCCCGTGAACTATTCACGAAAGGTAGCCCTCAGGGGGATACCTTGAGTTTGTCTTGCGAAGCAAGTGTAAGCTCCTCCAGGTGTAATAATTGATAGTTCAATTCAACCCCCCTTGGAATTGATTTTTCAATACAGACCCGCCCTGCAATGGGGGCTTGTACAGCGTCTCACTTCCATACCATGGTTAGTGATAGTCAAAGATTTTGTTCAAAGACTTGGGATGAAGGGTTCAAAGAGTTTGGGAAGGAGAAGGGTTCAATATTTTGTTCAAAGACTTGGGATGAAGGGTTCAAAGAGTTTGGGAAGGAGAACGGGTCAAAGATTTTGGTCAAAGACTCGGGGATGAAGGGTTCAAATCGTTTGGGAAGAAGAACGGGTCAATATTTTGTTCAAAGACTTGGGATGAATGAAGGCTTCAAAGAGTTTGGGAAGGAGAACGGGTCAAATATCTTGTTCAAAGACTTGGGATGAAGGGTTCAAAGAGTTTGGGAAGGAGAACAAGACATAGGATGAAGGGTTCAAGTCAGTTTGGGAAGGAGAACAAGACTTCGGATGAAGGGTTTAAAGAATGTGGGAAGGAGAACGGGTCAAAGATTTTGTTCAAAGACTTGGGATGAAGGGTTCAAAGAGTTTGGGAAGGAGAAGGGGTCCAACAAAGATTGTGTTCAAAGACTTGGGATAAAGGGTTCAAAGAGTTTGGGAAGGAGAACGGGTCAAAGATTTTGTTAAAATTATTGGCATGA